AGGATGGTTGTTCGTGAAAATTCCTCAGTGGTTTTCCCATTCTGTAGCAACAGGATGGTAGCTTTTATGAAGAATGCTTGGACTTGTGTGTCTGTGAGTGAAATGGTGCCTCTAGTCAGCCATTGGTGTGTAACTGGATCTGTTTGGGAAATGTTCTCTTTGGGAACTGCCTTGCAGTTTTCTCACTGTTGAGGCTGTTTGGGAGATTACTGAATCTTTCTGTCTTTTTCTTTACCGCTTGCAATTTCTTCAGTACCTGGGTTCAGTAACATCCCTGGTGGCTGTGGAGATGATGATATGTCATAATGAGAGGGGAGAGAAATGCTATGGATTATAGCTTATGGCATTTCCTTCTTTTCCTCCTTCCTCTGAGAGAATTTCTCTTTTCTTGCCCAGCCCCATTCCCAGAAAGGATTAATTATGATAGTATATGTTAAACTTCTGGTTGCTGGACAGCCTTTAGGGGCAGTTGTTCCTCAAGGGGGAAGCAGTGCAAATGATTAGGTTCATTCAGCAAAAACGGATTGACGCATATGTTGGCCTTGACCCCATATGCTGCATGTGCACACAGGCTGAACCCAGTGCTGCTCATACTGCATACAACATTGGGTCTGTCCACAATGGGAATGGGCTGTGCCAGAGCCAGCACAGCGGGCCAATCTGGCAGGGCATCATTTAAGCCCTATGTGCTGCATGCAGCATGTGCTGGTTCTGGGGCATGGGCTTCCTGCATGTGTTGCCCTGGACTGATCCTCTGTACTGCTTGCAGTGCTGGGTCTGGGGCACATGTGCACAGTGAGCCCCAGGGCTGGTGTGTACTACACACTGCATGTGCACTAGACCCAGTGCCGGGGGTGCTGCACAGGAAGTCCTTCCTGATCCGCTCACAGACCTGCCCAGTGTCCAGGCTTGCAAGGCTAGATGAGTTTGATATCCCTGGCCTACATGGAGGCATCTTGTTCTCTTCCTTAGTACAGTGCTGCTGTTTTGCTGTATCTTGCCATGGAGAAACTGCCCCTGCCTTGGGCTCTGGCAAAATCGGGGTTACACAGAGCCCCCAAGGGTGTGTTTGGGTGTCAGCCATGCTCTGGAGCCCTGCCTCTCTGCAGGTAAAGGTCCTCTCTTTTGGTGCAGCAGGGGCTATTCCAGCCTGATGACGACAAGGTCATGCCTGGGTCTTTGGAGCAAAAATCACTAGAAATAAGGAGTTGGGTTCTCCTGGCCAGAATAGAATTTTTTTTAGCTGCTGAAGGAAAGAGACTGGCAGGCCTCATCCTTCCAAAGATTAAGTGTGTGCGCCCTGAAACCTGTTGGCATGGTTTTTCCTCCACCCTTGCTAAAGGGCTGTCTGGACAAGGTCCCCCACCCTGGACTTTGTTGCCGTTATAGGAGCCTCTTGGATACAATCTCCCTCTGTGGAGGAGTGGAAAGAGTACTGCTGTCTTCTGCAGGAATTAATCCTGTCCAAGTCAGCCTCAACGTATGCAGTCAGCAGCTTGCCCTGCAGTCTCGCGGTTACAGCTCCTGTGTCCTGCATCTTGCGCAGCCAGAGCCCAAGTAACTTTTCCATTCTCAGAGGGTATCGTGGCCCCCAGCGTTTGGCTAATGCCTATATATGGACTGCACTGCTAGGCTTCCACAGGGTACCACAAAAGGCCAAGTCTGCCCCCTTCCCACACAGTTGATTGTAATCTGCCCTAGACTCACTAAGAC